TTACAGACATTTCATACTCCTACACTACCAGTGACATAATGTATACATTAAACCCCATACTAATTTGTATCTGATTTATTTAATAAAACCAGTATGATTTATACACTTAATTTTGCATACAATTACATGTTAAGTATGATACAACACATCTTGTCTTCATTGCACGCAGCATTATCTTCCAACTACTGCTCTGTATAAACCTAAGTACGTAACAGCTCACAAAACGATAAATCTCATTAGCTTCAACAGAGACATTACAGACATGTGACAAAAGAGAAGGACAAAGTGCTTACCCTAAGCTTCTTAAAATATAAACGGTAGGTATAACACGTAGAGTGAAGACCAGTCCCAAAGAAGAACAGATTTTAAACCAATGCACGCACAAATTTTATAAATATCTATGTGAGCTGTGCATACAACACACACAGTCTATCCCTTTAGGGTGACAGCTGGTGGTCATATGAAGGTTCAAAATACAGGTACAAATGAAAAAGAAAAATTTTGCATAAGGTTAATATAAGTTCAAAGTGGAGAGAAGTATAATAAAAAACATGAAGCACAATAATATGTTGCAATTATGACTTGCAGTTTGGCACATACTTAATTGAAAAATCAAGCTGCGTGTTTGCATGACAACATCGATGGGTTGCTTAAAACTGCAGAAAATAACAGAACGTTTTAAATAGCAACAGATACAAAAATATTCTTCTGTAGGTATCTAGATGTACGCACGCAAATATAATTGTGTCTTTCACCCTGATTAAAACCTAGCATTACATTTATTTACAAGGCACCATCGATAAAGCTTTCTATGATTTATAAAGATTCCTATGATAAACCTTATACTGTTATATGATAACCTCAAATGTGTATGCAAAAAGGTTTTGAAACAGGAATGACATACATTAAAAAAGAAACTCCAGCATACCTTTACTACTCACTCTGCTCTAAAATATTCTGTTCCAAGTTTCAGAACTAACCCTGCTTTTACTCTTCTGTTATTGTTAAAATAAGGTTTTGTGCTACTTGAATAGAAGTTACCCATAGAGAGCCTCTCCACACACAATGTCAATAGTTTGTTGCTATTGCTGCAAATCAGTTCATACTTTGTATGCATCTTCACAGGAAAAAGACCTTCAGCACTGTCTGCACTGCTCTTCCTTATCCGCTACCCTGCCAGACAACTCCGTATCACAGTCTTACTTCACTTCATCTTGATGCCAATTCAAATTTTTGTCCCCACTTTCAGTCAAAGGCTTTTCTGAAACATCAAACTGAGAGCTGTAACTATCAAAAGTGCAAAGGCTACAGTTACTTAGACACGTATTATTCCCACTCAGTCTCTCTCACACATTCCTATTTCTGGTCAAAAGATGCCTCTTCTGTGTGACTCTGAAGGTAGTAACTCTGTTTTCTTTTTAGACTGCTGACTACAGATGCCCTAGGTGATGCAGTAATAAACCCAAGATTTCTGTGACAGCACGAATTTCTCCATGTAGCCTCAGACAGGGAGGGATGGAGATGTACAGGGCCAGACCAACAGCCCAGGCACGTATAAGCAAGCCCTCTGAGCATTAAAGAAAACTGACGTTCAAAAGGACACTGAATAATTAATCATCTAAAAAATCAGCCATGTTCATTTCCACTAATACCAGAAGGATATTACATATAAAAGTCACCCAAAGCCCGTGTCCACCACAACTCTGCTGTGAAATACAGCATTAGAACCACGTGCAGTTGCTCCCATCTCCCACTAGCTTTGTGCTGCTCTCACGAGGCAGCTGCAAGGCCACGGGCTGCATGGGTGATGCTCTCCCACAGGCTCGTTCTTCCACACGTGAGCAGGGACGGCTGGAGGCACTCAGTATCTCACAGAAAGCACGCAGGACTTCAATAAACTCTAACCAAAACACTGACGATAAATTCACTTTTGTGAGTCATGCAATTACACAGAATTGTTGTCCAAGTTTAGAGATGCAGTAATCACGGCTGCGAAGAGATAAACAGAGGCCTTGTGCTGGGTTTGATGTGCATTAGGTGCTCAGTTTACATAACAGCTTCCAAATTAGACATTAACCTCAGAAGACTGGGAAAAGACAACCAGGAGCAAAATGGTCCCCTTGTGGAAAAATTATGTAATACTTATTGAATTTAATTCTCCAAGGGTGTATCTGCTGGCTGAAGAGCAAATTCCTCCCTGAAACACAGGCAGGACAGAGAGGCATAAAACTAGAGACTGAGCCCCACATGGAAGTGAGTAACCGATTCACAAAGCACTGAGTTTACAGACACAGCTTTCACATGTTGTTCATACTAGAAAAGGGGGGGGTAGCACAAGGACGCTGCCTGCCCCCCGAAACAACACAGCAAAATATTGTTTGGTGTAGATAAACATAAAAAGTTTTCTGGAAATCCTGAGAATGAGGTCAAGAAATATAACCAAAGTATCTCAGCAAATGCACACAAGAATCCCGAACTAGAAAAACAGAAATAAATGAGGATCCACAGGAACCTATATCAGAATTTTCCCATGTCTTACGTGGTTAACCCAATATTCTCCTACATATGCCTCTATTCAAAATTTACTGTGATGTCCATTTTCATATGTGCCACAAATACCCCAATAATAGCTACATTTACAAACTTACTCTAAATCTTTCCACTTGGAAGCTGTAAAATACTCAGCGTTTTACCTTTTTCTTGTTAATTTGATAGAAAATTTAGCTCCTTCTCTTGGTGATAATCAACACTAAAACAGTGAAATTTGATTACTCCTGTCTTTTTGGATGCTTTAAGACTTGCCTACATTTTAACATTAGCACTGCATTGTTAAAAAGTCACGTGCAAAAATAAACCAAAACTCCATTCTTACATATGCATTTATTCTGGGACGGAGACACTGTTAGGAAGCACTCATTAGCATCGTCGCAATTCTCACACAGGAAAACAAATAGACTATATACTACAACTTCTTCATCCATTTCTATAAACACTGCCACCCAAAAAAGGTAGTACTATTATACAGTTATAATTATTTCAGGAGAAACAACACAACCATCTTATACCTCTCACCAAAACACTACTAATGGCTAAAAAATAAGGTCCAGATCAGGCCACGTCAACCCAAGACTAATGAAATACTATGATCTTTATTTCAAAAACAAGCACCTCCTTATAAAAAAATAAAAACATAATTAAACCCTGAGAAAAAAATACAGTTAATTTGAGAATATGCGAATGACAGGTCTGAAAAGGATACAGTGTCATTTACTCCTACTGAAAAAAAAAAAAGAAGTTAACATACTATGATCACTAAACCTTCCCATATTAAGAACAAATAAGGGCAGAATTAGAAAATATTTCTGTAATGAAACAGAACTAACATACTTATCACCTACTTCGCATATCAGCTTGAAAAGTTACATGGTGCACAACAGGACGCAAAAAATCCTATTGCCCAAAACATTGTTGGGTTGTGCACCTTGCTCATAAACCAAGCTTACAACAAAATGAGGGAATTTACTCGCAAGAATAATCTCATTCATTTTAGTGGAATCCTCACATGAATAAAGTTACTCATGCACACACATGGGTATGTAAGAGGCTATCAGATCCCACCTAATCCCCTACACATGCTACCACAGCACCAGATGTGACCTGCTACATCCCTCTCCGGCTGGCAGAAAGGGAGTGGGTGGACTCTTGGCTCTTTCCCCCTTTAATGCACCTGCTAGTGCAGCTGAGCTGGCATGCAAGGGGGGAAAGGTACTCCAGGAAAAGAACAAGTGCAGCTTATTGCCTCCAGGGAGCCAGGAAAAAAAAAAAATCAGGGATTTGAAGCATGATTTCAAGTCATAACCTAGTGCTGCCCTGGTGCTCCGCTCTTACGGCTGTACTGCTCTCAGGCTTGAAAGCAAGGTGCCAGCACAGTTCTCTGCCTAACACCCCACTCCGAGCAGTCCTGAAGAAACTTGGGCTTTGAAAGTATTTTCTCCTGTTCCCACTGGAAGTATGTTCTATTTAACCTACTTTCTCTTAGATGATATATGTAATGATTGAACGTTCTGGATTTTCCTTTTTTAAACATGGTATCCACTGCAACTCACTTTCTGCACAGACGCAGGCTGTTCAATTCGAGCCATTGATTAAATATGCTTAACGACACTGATAGTTCTTCAGCAAATATCGTCAAGAGTATTACATTTACAAAGGCATACAGCCAGCTGGCACAGAGAATGCAATGAAATAATCTTTCACTTAAAATGTAATTTTAAAGGGAACTATCTCCTCCCGGGAATTTATTTGCACTGCTTTTTGTACCAATAATGAATATTTCAATTTTGCGTACATTCAACTTATTGTGAAAGCAAATCTAATTCAGAACCACATTTATGAGTCCACCCATGAAAACATGGTTTTCCACTCAGCCTTAGCTCGGATAAAGTTGTTTTGCTGCAACTCTGCCCAAGACACTCTTCCTTCATGCGACCCTGTGAACAAGTGTTTACACCGGGTGCTCAGGAAGGAGCCGGCGCGCCCCCAGCCAGGACCCCGGAATTTTGGTTATTTTTCTGTCGCTTCGTTGCCCGCTATCCCACCGCAGGCCATGGCAGGGCCAGCCCGGGACGGCCCTGCATCGCTTGCAGGGCGCTCGCAGCAGGGCCCGTACGGGTGCAGCACGCTGGAGAGCGCCGGGCCTGGACGAGCCCCGTGGCGGGGAACCCACAGGGAGGAGGGCCCGGCCGGCTTCCAACCCTTTCCCCACCGCCCGGGTCGGTGACGCGGAGCGCAAAGTTTTGGACACCGAACGTAACAGCGAGGCTGGCCACGGGCAGGGAGAAAGGGAACGAGGGAGGGCAGGGACGATGCGAGGGGAAGCCGCTCATCTCCGCGGGGCGCCCCCACCCCCGTGCCGGAACCATCCGAAGTTCGCGCCTGGCGCGGTGCGAGGCGCTGGGCGCACCACCCTGCCTCCTGCAGCGGGGCCACCCCGCTCTCACCTGAAGTCGCTGTAGGGGTGGATGATCCAGAACCCCGCAGTTTTAACCCTTTCCTGCTCCTTCTCCACCGCCTTCTGGCTGCCGAACATGCGGAGGGAGAATTTGTTGACCCCCGGCTGCAGCATGGAGGTGAACTGCCGCTGCATAAAGCCGTACTGCCGCCGGGGTCCCTCGGCATCCTCGAAGCCCACCACGGGCTCCTCGCCCCCGCCGCCGTCCACTTTGAAGCACACCGAGTTGCCATGCTCCTTCACGCCGCTGCCCCCGCCGCTGCCCCCGCCGCTGCCCCCGCCGCCGGGGCTGCTCTGGGCTTTCTCCGCCGGGGCCCCCGGCTTGGAGGGGAAGGAGTTAGCGCTGCCATCGTCCCGGCTACCGGCTGACGAGCTGCGCTTCCCTGCCTCCATGCTGTGGGGAGAGCGGGCGCGCCCCAGCCCCGGGAAAGCACGAGGATGCCTCGCCGCCGCCGCTGCCCTTCAGCGTCTGTGCTGTGCCGTGCCGTGCCGTGGTGTAGTGTGGTGTGGTGTGCTTGGTTGGGTTTGGCTGGGCTGGGCTGTGATGAGCTGGGTTGGGCTGTGGTGGGCTGGGCTGGGCAGGGCTCAGTTCCGCGCCGCCGCGCCGCCCAGCATGGCCAGCGCCACCGCCTCTGAGCCGCGCTCCGCGCAGGGCGCGCGCCGCTTCCCCTCACCCGCCCCCTGCCGGCAGCCGCGCCGCGCCACGCCGCCCGCCTGACATTGAGCGCCCCGGAGTCCTTGAGGGGCTTGAGGCTTCCGGACCGAGGGGCGGAGCCGGACGAGAAACGGGCTCTGCCCTGGGTGCGGTGGCGGCCGGGCCGCGTCCCGGGAGTCCTGCTGCCACATGGCGGCGGGTGTCGAGCGGGGACTCCTGAGGCGGCGGGGCCACGGCAGGGCGGGGACAGGGAGGGAAAGAGAAGGGGGGCCCAGCCATGCTCTGCCAGCTTGGAGCGGAGGGGGCTTGTATTTCACCTTGGGCAAGGCGGGCGGCGGCCCAGGGCTGGAAGCAGCGGCTGGGAGCGAAGCCGCGGGGAAGTCCCGCTGCTCGCCTGCCTCTTGGAAGCCTGTTTGGTGCCTGTCAGGGAGCAGAGTGACTGAAAGAGAGCAAGAGATGGATCTGAGTGATGCACCAGAGGTAGCAGAGGCATCTGGGGTTCGTGCTGCTGAGAACGAAGTCAGAACCTGCGCTTTGAAAAGAAGGAGGAGGGGGTGTGAGTGAGGAGGGAAGGCCATATTTTGAGTGGCACCCGTTTTCACACACAAAACGGTTTGCTCCGGTTCGGCAGCATCTTGCTACCTCTGAGTGGCTGTTCCCTGCGCTGATAAGTGCAGGACTGAGAGCAGGGGCAGTGCTGTCATCGCGCTGCGAGGTGTAATGTGGCCAGTGTGCCCATGGAACCCAGCTTTCCACATCTGCCAAGAGGTGATGGGCTTTGTTTGTGTGTAAACAGGGATCTAGAGCCCACAGCAGCCGACATCGAAGCATGTCAGTTGTAGTTAAAAAGCCTCCAGGAGATGGAGAGAAGGCTGTTGGACAAAAACGAGGCAGGAGCTATTTCCAGCTCCCAATACTCTTTAAGTACACCCAGAGGAAATTGAATGGGTATTGCCTTGGGTATCTACACACAGGTTATCCAAATGACTGTATAGTATCTGGGGAGTTGTTGGGCGAGGTAACGTGAGAGAGCAATTCTGGCCGTGGTGAGCAGCTGTTTACAAGCTGTGAGCAAGGAGGAGGGCCTTGGTCTCTCTGAAAACAGAAAGATGCTGATATTTATCCTAAAAGGAGGTGAGTTTGTTTGGGTTACAGAATGATGGGGAATCAGTATCCGCAGATGACAGCACAGTAAGCTGTATCATTACGCATACCTGCAAAAGCATAACAGTATGTGTATTACAGCACATATGCATAGGTTCTGGTATTCCATTTGGTTTGACATAGGTTTATTTTTCACACATTCTCAATACACTTTTCATTCTGCACGTTAAAAGTATAGTAAGAAGGAATTAGTAAAGTCTCCAAAGCTTGGCATCAGTATTTCCAGTGATATTTGTTACTTCTTGTTACCCACATCATCCTTTACATAACACATGCTTAAAACAAACTGACAGAGGAACACATGCAAATCTGCACACCACAATTTGCACAGCACATATCAGGTGCACTGGGGAACTGTGTTTCAAAGCTGGGTCTGAGGCCTTTTCTCAGCAGTTCTAGCTCTGAGTATTTATGTCTTGTGCCCTTAAACTCACCAGGTGTGGACGATGTTAACACATTTGTGGAAGGTGTCAATGTTAACATGATGTTAGTGTGGAAGAAGATGGCAAGTATAGATGCACCAGCCTTGATAGCTGGAGACTGGGCAGTGACCAGCACAGGAAGGAATATGCTCACAGTGTGATTGGTGGGGGGCTAACATATATATAAAGCTTCCCCCATCTGCAGTGATACTTTTTTGTATGATATTATCCTAAAGCAGTGAGGAGTGTGTGCACAGCTGCTAACGGCTCATGCACAGCTGCTGATTGACAAAACCCTCTTACTGATTTATCCCCAGATGATGTCCGCCTCCTTCCCTCATCTAGTGTCTGACACCAAATGGTAATTAAAAACTAAGAAATTATTTCTGTTTTGCTGCTTTTTGAAAAAATTAGCTCACATCGTATTTGACAGAAACCAAGCAATGCTATGCTGTTCTATGTACTCACACAATTTACCGCATTGGTGTCAGTGGAAATAACACTTTTCACACATCAGTTGTATACTTTACAGCCTTACCTTTCCTCTTTGAGAGCAAGCAATCTTCCTACCTCTCCTGTCCTTATTTCAGAGGGTTTTGCATGCAGCCCTTGATCTGCATGGTCTCTCCCATTATAAGGTAAGCAACACTAGTTTTATTCAGGAGAAAATTGGCTTCTAATGGAGTAAATCAGAACAGTAAAATGGAGACATTTAGAGCTGCAGTAAGCAGGTTCTGATGTTACACATTTCTTTAATTGGAAAAGTGGTGAACATTGAATTAATGGTGATCTTCATTTCTAGATGATGTAAACTGTGCACAGCAAGAAGATCTAGTTTCTTATTTTATGAAACTTTACTTCAGCTTGTATTTAATGTCATACTTTGTTCATGGTCAGCTGTCCTTACATAGTATGCACTACAGGCCTATCAGAATGACTGTCCCTGCCTAGATTCCCCCTTTCTCCACTAAAAGAATCTGGAAATATTCTATTTCAGCTGGTGGCATTACATCAATCTAAAAGGGGTTTATTACATCAAAAAGTCATACAATTTAAGAAAACTCATTAATGAGAGAAAATAGGATTCGTTATATGTAACACATTGTCTGCATGCTTCTCGAACACAGTATATGCATAAATTGCACAGATGAAAGTGTTTGTGAAATTATTTTGATACTTTGTGCTTCCTGTGATCAAAGATTAGATTTTTATAATTTTTATTCTACATAGAAGAAATGTATGCTTACTTAGGCATGTCCAAATGATGTTTGTCTTAAGTATTTGCATGGGCTAAATTTCCTTAACATCTCAGCATTTTGCAATTTTTTAATAGCAATCCTGAGATTGTAAGGATTAGAGAGAATATTCGTAACCTAGTTTTATGTAGGAGAACAGATTCTTCTTCAAAATAACTTCTGTTGTTTTCAGCCAGGAAATTGACCTCTTCTGAAGCCCAAGCCAACATGTTAGTTAGATGAGAGAATGCTGGTTTCGCAGAGAAGTAATGGGGAACTGGGTGTGTGAATTGTTCTGAAGACTGCACCGGGGCTACATATGGTAGAAAGGTCACAGACTCACTTTAGCTAAAGGTACAGCTTGTTTTCTGTCAAGTTGATTTTGTGACTATGTCCGGAGAGATACTGGGAAAAAAAATAGAACAGGTAAATTAAATTTCCAAGAAATCCCTGTTAGCAGAACAAGGGAAAAATAACCAAAACCAATAATGGATCACTACTAAAAATTTATTTGGCCCTTTTACTTGTTCATCTTGGATTATTTTGATTACTTACTGGACTCCCTCAGACTATTATAACATCATTAATTCCAGTGGTTTGTATGACTCTGTAACAGTAATACAAATGTATGCCTCAAAATTAATCTCCTTCTCTTCTGCCAAACAATAAATTGTTTATGGCTGTGGAAAACACAGTCCCACTTCTCTTATTTTCTCATATTTTTTCCTTTTGATATGACCTAAACATATCCAGAAGAGTTCAGCTGTAGAAATTAAAAAAAAAAACAAAAAAACACCAACACCCCCCCCCCAAAAAAAAAAAAAAAACCAGCCTATGTATTTAAGCATATGTAGTTTGTTCAGTGAAGAAACTGGGGCTTCTATGAGATGACCCAGTAAGATGTGCTTGACTGCAGAACAAAGCTCTTGTCTCTCAAGTTTTACTTTCCTGCTCTGTGAAATTGTTTTAATACTATTTTTCAACAGAAGATCACCATCAAATGAAGTGCTAAAGCAGGATTAGCAAGGAGTGAAGGTAGTATCTACAGGTATAGGACTAGCTGTGCGAGATTAATTCATAATATATGCTGTTTCCTGTGCTTGGTCACTTGAGGTTTGTAATAAAATAATTTTGATTTGGTCCCACTGTACTTACATTACTTTGAATATTCAGTCATACATACTTACTGGCAGCAATTTTTTGCCATTAAATTTTATATTAATATCGCATGATGTTTATAAAGAAGGAAGAATCTTACTTTTGCAATCATTAGTAGCCCTTGAAGAAAACTATCACAAAGCAAGTGCACCTTCAAGTGTGAATGTCAAGTAGTAGCCATCCATTTATTTATGTGATTTTTTTTACCCTGTTGTATAGTTTGAATATCTACAGTGAGCACTGATGTAAGTATGATCTTGGTGATTTCTCTAAAGATCAACAAGAGCACATGTGGTCGGAACTAGATAATCTTAAAAGTCCTTTCCAACCCTAACTATTCTGATTCTGTGTGCTCCACCCGTAGAGGTTCCAAGTCCTAAATTTTCCTGACCAGGTAATTGACACCTAAATTTATTGCAAAGTGCGAAAAGCAGCTGCTTCCCTGTTTGGTCTCATAAGCAGTGATATGATGTTTTGCAGAAATGTGGTTTCTGTGTTTCAGCTCTGGCCTGGCCTGATGCTAGAAGCCCTACTGCAACATCTGAGTGTGGTGTTTCAAAACAGCAACCGATAAAGTGGGACAGGAATGTTTTATTGTTGCCTATATCCAGGGTGAAATTAAAGCACAGAAAATTCCTACTCTTTTTTACGAACGCTCTGGAATGTCATTTATGCAAATCACTTCTAAATTTGATAGGATATTTGTGTGCTCTGAGTGCTTAACTGGTTTTGAAGAACAATATTTTAATGCTTGTTTATTATCTGTTCAATAACCTGCCAGATCCTTATCCAATCTTTAGGAGACACCACCACCACAAAAAGAAAGTAAAAGGTGGAAAAGGAATTCTGATTTGATTATTTTTATTTTTTTTTATTTTAGTTGTAGGTGT